GGGAATCGAACTCATGAGGAAGTGGTTTAAGCTTCTTTATGCTGTGCTTTAACCCGCTGCACCACCACAGAGGGCCTTACTGAGGATTTTATATCAGTGTTCATTAGAGAGATTGGACTGAAGTTCTTTTTTTGTGTTGTCTTTGTAGAATGTATTTGGTAGTATTCCTTCTTTCTCTAATTTTTGAGTAAGTCTATGCAGGATAGGCACTAGTTTTTTTCTGAATGTTTGGTAAAATTCATTTGTAAATTCATCTGGTCCTGGGTTTTTGTTCTTGAGAAGGTTTTAATTACTGCTTCAATTTCACTGCTTGTAATTGGCCTGTTTAGTTATTCTATTCCTTCTTTATCTAGCTTTGGATGATTGTGAAGTTGTAGAAATTTATTCATCTCTTCTAGATTGTTGAACTTATTTGCATATAGCTGTTCATAGTATTCTCTGATTATTCTTTTGATTTTTGCTGTGTCTGTTGTGATTTCTCCTCTTTCATTTATGGTCCTGTATATTTGTGCTTTCTCCTGTTTTTCCTTTGTGAGCTTGGCTAGAGGTTTGTCTATTTTGTTTACTTTTTTGAAGAACCAACTTTTGGTTTCATTGGTTATTGATATGTGAGAGTTAGTCATTACCTTTTTTCCTCTTCAATTTTTAGTTTGTTGTTTCTTGTTCCAGATGTTTCTGCTTCTTCATTTTAATGGTTTTCCTGGCTGTTCTCTCCATTTTTCATTTCTTTTTCTATATATCCCTATAGTGGATTTTTTGTTTTGTGGTTATCATGAGGATTGTATCAAACTTTTTATATCTAAAATAGTCCTTTTTGTCTGGGATCAATTAATTTGGCTATACAAGTTCTTTTCTGCCTCCCTTTAAATGTTTTTTTTTTTTGTTGTATATTTACTTTTGTTTGTTGATCTTAATTTGTTTATTTGGTGGCAGGTAAGAGAAGAGGGGTGTGCTGGATCCCAAACTAGATATCCAAAGACCAGTCTAGTGGGAAGGGAGAGTTACTTTAGTAAGATCAAATTACCCTGCCTATTCTTTCCTTACTCTGCAAAGCAAACACTGTTCACTACTTCATGGAACCCAAGTTCCAGTGCCAGCCTCCTTGTGCCCTTGTCCTGCTACAGGGTGTGTGGGCCTTGGTGCCTGGTGCTTGGGGCTTGGTGTGGGGCATAGAGCTTTGGCTTTTAAAACGTTCTGGAGCCAGTCTTTTTTGTCTCTCATCAGGAAGGGGCAGGGAGCTCTGCTGCTCATGTTATAGGCAGCCAGATTTTCTGTAACTGAAATGACCAGTCCCATTGCTCTTATGCCAGTTGGTCTGTACTCCCTGCTCACTAAGTAAAATTTCCTGTGCATGGTTTTGTTTTTGCTCAGTCTGCCTGGTTCCTGGCTTTCTTTGGCTGACTGGTGTGGCACCACACTGGCTATTACTGTCTTCTTGCTCTGTCCCAATAGTGAATCACCAACCTTGGAGTTGGCTATGCATGTTTCAGTTCTCTGTAGTGATGAACTGGTGAAATTTTCCAAGAACAAAATTTAGTTTTTCTTTCTTTTAAAAAATATATTTATACATACAGAACTGGGGTGCAGGCCTGAGCTGCAGGTCAGAGGATTACCAGAGACAGAATGGGGAACAGAATAGGCAGATTGAAGTACACTGCTGAGGGGAGCAGTGAGACAGGAGAAGTCTGCTCCAACATGTGGGTCACCTCCCTGGCTGGGGATTGAACGTGTGCTAAAGTGGTTGTGGTTAGCTTCATAGTGCTGCACTTTAACCTGTTGCACCACTAGGGAGGCTCCCAAAATTTAGTTTTTCTATCATGTTACTTAAGGGAGATCTTATTAGAAAGCCCCTTTCTGCCATCATATAGGTGGAATCGCTCCAGCTTTTTCTTAAAATGTATTGATTGACCTCTTCCCCCTGAAGAGCCCTACTACGTTTGTAAAATCGATTTGCTTGATTGAGAGGTAATATGTTTTTTATGGTTGCCACACATAGAAGGTATGCCTTTGGTTAATCTGAAAACAGTCTGACTGACAGCTATAGGAAAGCTTCCTGGAAGTTCTCAGTTTGTTATCTGTGTTGGACCTCCCTCTTGTGAAATAAGAGAGCTCCGCCTTGTCAAGATCTACCTAGCTAGGAGGAAAGGACTGGGATACGGAGATGCCAGTTTTCATGACTTTTATAACTTATGGGAAAGATCTCCTTTGGCCTCACCTTTGGTGTCTTGTAGTCAGGGAGCCCTGTGCTGGGCCTTGATTTATCTCCCAGGGGTTCTTGTGTTACGGTAGAATAACCGACTCTCAGGCTCTGTGTACACTGAGCGTGGCAGCGAGGACTCCCCTCCTTTGCACCGTTGCCTCCATGTCAGAAAAGTGAGGGCAATGCCCACTTGTACATGGGGAGGCTGTCACCTGACAGCCCCTCCGTCAATGACATGAGGACTTGATGGCTTAACTGGGCCTCTCGCCAGCTTGCTCCCCACCCAGATCAAAGGATGCCAATCTAACAGATTGCCAGAAAGGCAGGGTTGTCTGTGAGTAGTGGCCTGGGCCAGGAGAAACTTGGTGTCCCAAAGCTGCACTTCCTTCATCCTGGTACCAACAGGTAGATGTCAGAAGAGAGTTGACCTCAGTCTGATCCATACTTGTTAAAATGAAAGTTTGATATTGGCTTCTTTCTTAAAACATCCTGAGCCCACAAGTATAGATGAAGCCTATAGCAGTCTCCTAGCTGCAGTATTTATTGGTACTTCTCATAGGAAAACAGCCTTTGAGGATACTAGTGACAGTATTGTTCACCATTCCTTCTACTCTTACTGAATGGAAGTGACCCCACTTAGCCAAGCATTTATAGAGTGGCACTTGGGGAGGGGAGCATAGGAGCAGGCCCCATATGGCTTATTTCTCTCCCCAAGAAGTCACTCTAGGCCCAGGGCCAGAACCAGGCTTGCCCTGTACAAGTAATGATCCAGCACAGGGGAGAGAGAGAAAAGAACAGATACTTGATTTGTTTTTTAAAAGTTGGTGGCGGGCCCTACCTGGTGGCTCAGCAGGTTGAAGCGCAGCACTGAGAATCTAAAGCCACTTCCGCATGAGTTCGATTCCCGCCTGCCCTGGAGGTGACCACATAGTGTGGCAGACCTCTCCTGACCCGCCCGCTGCTCCCCTCACAGTGTGCTTCGTCGATCTGCCTGTTCTGTTCCCCACTCTGTCTCTGGTGAAGCCTCTCACCGCCCCTGAGCCTCTGGCCTGTACCCCAGTTCTGTATGCACAAATAAATAAATTTAAAAAAAAAAAAAAGTTGGTGGCAAGTTAGGTAATGTTTGACTATAAATAATACTTACCATTTCCTTTACTTAATTTCCAGGTTTGCTTTTGCTGTTTGCATTGCCTCAGACTAGGACACAAGGCAGAGATTTTTGTATTTCACCATTCCATATTAGTTTCCTAAAGATGTCTAGAAGACATTTTGGAAAAATAAAAAGACAAAGGATGTCTTCCAGCATCCCTATAAATTATCAGTCCCTGAATATGGACTGTGTACTGCTCTGCTAGAATCAGGAAACCACATCAGGACACGGCTTTTGGTGGCACATGCAAGGAGTATTTTAAATTTTCTTGAGGATGTGTCTACTATGTTCTCAGTTACAATGTGTTTCTCATGGGAAATAACAGTTTCCCTTTCAGCCCTCATGCAGGCACGTGGCATGTGGACTGATGTAGTCTCTTCCCTAAGGTGCGGGCAGAGGGAACTTATTGGTGTGCTCTGGGAAGTAAGAGAGGAAACACTTCAGTGTGAAGAGAGCTGACAGGGTCCCTAGCATCTGAGGTGGAGTTTGATTTCTAGCCTCACACTTCTGCCCCAGTCCCTGACCCTGGGCAGCTGAGCAGACCAGGAATTCTTGATAACCCAGAACCTCTGGTGCTGACGATGCAAGCATACACTCAGGTTACATGGAGGGAGTCTTCAGTTAACTGTCTTATTGTCACCATGTAGGTCTGTCACAATTCCTATGTGTTTACTTATTCATCTTCGGGTAGCTGGAGTACTTCAGAAGCACATGTGAACTTCACAGGTTTCCTCTGGCCCTACAGAGCTTGGGAACTGTCAGTTAGTTCAGGAAGCCAGCTAGCCAGTTTTATAAGAACAGTGCTCTAACCCTAGCGCTTTGGAACCAAGCTAGTTTTAAAGTGAAGGTAGCAGTGGGTTAAGAGTTTCCAGCATGGGCCTTCCTGGTGGCACAGTGGGTTAAAGCATAGCACTGTGAAGTTGTCCACAGCCACTGCAGCATCCTGGCCAGGGAGGTGGCCCACATGGCGCAGTGGATCTCTCCTGTCTCACCCACTGCTCCTCTCAGCAGTGTATTACTGTACATCTGCCTGTTCTGCTCCCCACTCTGTCTCTGGTGAATCCTTTCACCCCCCGCACCTGTGGCCTATATCCCAGTTCTTGTATGCATAAATAAATAAAATAAATCTCAAAAGACAAGAGTTGCTAGCATATGGAGAGTAGCATTGTTGTCTATATGGTTGCTGCCTTCTCTGTTGTCTGTATTAGCACTCAGAAAATTCCAGAGTCAGGTACTCAGAAATTTTCTTGGTCTAGGTGTCTCAGTGACCATTCATCCTTTCAGAGACATCTGTGTTCTCACCATCACTTTCTTTCAAGTGATCTTAGAAAGGTAGGCTCTCAGCCATTATGTGGTCCCCTCATTGTTCTGCCAGAAACAACAGGGGAGGGCAGGGTCTGTGGAGGGCGGTACAGAAGCCAGGTTGCAGTGGTCTCCCAGGCCTCAGCTACCCTGTACTTTTTGTCAGTGGCAGGCCCTGCCAGCGCAGGCTAGATGAGGTTACAGCCCCCTCATTGTCCTAACTAGGCTTTTGTTCTATGCTTTGTAGAGCACTCCTTTATTTTGCCATCAGAGACATTCTGTGGTAATCCCTCCAAACAATGGGCAGAGGCCAAAGCGCTTGTCAGTACTGGTCAGTTCAGCTTTGGATCAAGTTGGGATGATTCACATAGAATAAATACCGAATGCCTATAAATTGCTGGATTATTCAAATATGACTTGTAGAGTTCTGGCATCTTTTCTCTTAAGGTAAAAATTCTTAGCCATAGTCCACTGGTTAGGAACTGAAGCTCAGAGATACAGTTGACCAGGTCATTGTCATGGAGTTAGTGAGTGGTGGGGGTAAGCTCTGGATTCTGCTCTGGGAGGTGAACTCCCATGGTGCCTGTCTGCTTTGCTCTCCAGGCTGTTGCCTACAGTGCCGTCAGGGTAGTGGTGTGTTTAGCTGCTGCTTTTGTCACAACCACAGGTTCGATTCTTGGGCAGGCATGGCCCTGGCCCGGGCCAGCCGCATTCAGGACAAGCTGAACTCCAATGAACTAAAGAGTGATGGGCCCATCTGGAAGCATGCCACGCCTGTCCTGAACTGTTTCCGGCGGGCCCTGGAGATTGATAGCTCCAACTTGTCCCTGTGGATAGAGTATGGCACCATGTCCTACGCTTTGCACTCATTTGCCTCACGCCAGCTGAAGCAGTGGAGAGCCGAACTCCCCCCTGAGCTTGTGCAACAGGTGAGCAGGGGTGCTGTGGAGGGCCTACCATCCTGTTGTCTAACCAGAGTGCCCTTGTGTTGGCAAAGTTCAGTCCCCTCTGTTCTCAGCTCTTGTCCTGACAACCATACTGGGAGCTTCTCCTCCTGAGACTCATTCCATACTTTGTAAATCAGTGGGCCTTTGTTTGGTGTGGGTGATTTTAAGGCTGGGCTCTTAGGACCTTCAGGGTTTTTTGGGAAAGATTCATCCATTTATCTATACATACAGAGCTGGGGCACAGGCCAGAGGCTGAGGGTGTTGAGAGGATTCACTAGAGACAGAGTGGGGAGCAGAACAGGCAGATGCACTGAAACACTGCTGAGGGGAGAAGCAGGTGGGTCAGGAGAGGTCTGCCACACCATGTGGGTCACTTCCCTGGCCGGGAATCAAATTCATGCG